ACACAGTATACATCAATATACCACACAGTAGACACCAATATACTACACACAGTAGACTTCAATATACCACAGTAGACACCAATATACTACACACAGTATACCTCAATATACCACACAGTAGACCCCAATATACCACACAGTATACATCAATATACCACACAGTAGACCCCAATATATCACACAGTATACATCAATATACCACACAGTAGACACCAATATACTACACACAGTAGACTTCAATATACCACAGTAGACACCAATATACTACACACAGTAGACATCAATATACCACACAGTAGACCCCAATATACCACACAGTATACATCAATATACCACACAGTAGACCCCAATATACCACACAGTAGACCTCAATATACCACACAGTAGACCCCAATATATCACACAGTATACATCAATATACCACACAGTAGACATCAATTACTAAAACATACTTCAATTTCATGTTGACATTCTTTAGTTTCTGTGATTAAAGCAGCTCTTTTTTCTTCTAACTGTTTACTCTTTTGGAGTTGACTACTTAGATTCAATTTTTCATGAGTAATTTGATTGACTACACCTCTCAGATCCTACAATAGTGTACAGGTAGAAATCAATTATTATACATAACCACATATTTCAATATATATATACAACAATTGTTATAATAGTTTATTCATTGTCAGCAAAATTGTAATTTCATTCAAAATAATTACTAACCTGTAAAGTTTCTGAGGTATCTTGGATTGTCTGTCGTCTATGCTCTAGATTCCTGTTAAGAGTCTCCCTAAAATAATGAATATGTAAATTAGTCATACACAAATGGAAAATAATGTAACAGTTACTGTGTCAATTGTCTGATGCCAAACACCAGATTTTAATTTAAGCACCACTGTCAGATCTGTGTCATACTAAATGTGGGTCCCATGCATCATGTACAATAAAAAAACATTTGGTTTACACAATATGTGAATGCATGGTGCGATGTTTTGAATTTCAACAGGTTCAGAGGTTCAGTTTAAAATTTATGAATCTACAACAGCATGATTACCACAACTACAAGGTAATGTATATATATATGCTTACAATTCCATTTCCAATTGTTTCTTTGCTAAGCTTACTTGCTGCATAGTGCGTCCACTATCTACAATAGAATTATGAACACAGTTTTTAAATATTATGCAACAAAATACCATGATTGTATTTCCAGGAGTAAACAACAATTTATTACAGTTTTTAATTGTTATCTCCCCATTGCTCAGTGGCAAACATTGAATATCAAATTAGAAGGAATTGCTGAACATGGTTTTCAATAGATCACCCTCGTAACCACACCCCTTTTGATAACATATTTAAGTATTACCTCCACCAGTCAACTTGGATTGCTTTTCTTGTATCTTTCTTTCTAGATTACTGATTTCATTTTGCATTTTATCTATCATTAGTGCATCAGGCTCAATATCTTTAGCCGTACTCTCATCTATCTGTAGTAGTGATAAGCCATCTTCAGCCTGTATCAAAATATAACAAGTCTTTTTCAATGACATAGTCCCTGTTTGAATGTATAGGCATGAAATAAAGCCTTCAGTTCTAACACTCACCCCTGTAATAGTTCAGTGCTAGACATGGCCTTTACCACACACCAATGCAGATACATACATATAATAACAAGCCATGCATGGCACAGTCCCCGTTAGTTATCAAATTTAAGATATATAGTTTTGTTTATAGTAATATAGCTGGAATATAACCATGTCAGGAATATGATTTTTTAACATTAAAATGACATTTGACATTTGTATCTGATTGTCAAACAAGTACTTGTCCATATTGAGAGATATTGCTCTGGAACAGCATTCAAAATCAGCCATTTTGAATACATGTATATATATAACATGATGTATAACGAATATATAAAATTTGAATATAATCAGTCAAAGCATTTATGAGATATGGCTCTAGAACCCCAATCATTAAAGCAAAATTGCCGTCAGTCAGCCATTTTGAATCCAATCTGAAAAATAAAATGACGTGCATCAGGAACCCGTCTAATGTATTACCAAGTTTGAACGAAATCCATCCATAAATACCAGAAATGCTTGATATATGATGACTTTTTAGCACAAAAATGACCACCATTCGGGCATTTTGAATAGGATCGTCAAACCAATATAACTGTTTATCTATGACATGATGTATAA